ACTTTCTGCCCCACTCAAACTCTGGCAATCTCAACCTGTCTCTCTCACAGGGCACAACGGAGCCCCAGCTGCATGGGCACCCCCACAGTTGACACGCAGTGCTTTCTCTATCCCAACTGGACACTCCCTCTGACTATGCCCTCCTGCACATTTCTCACATCTTGGGATCTCCCTTCGACACACTGCTGCAACATGTCAGAATCCTTGGCATCTAAAGCACCGAAGCGGGTTTGGAACATAGGCCCTCACAGAATGGCAAATATAACCTAACCAGACCTTATCAGGAAGAAACTGTCAGACAGGGTATTCTCAGTCTCGCTATTGCCACCGGGTCTATGTCTCACCAAACGGTGGGCGTCACAAACACTAGGAAAATTCATTTTTAAGTTGATCCACCTCTACACTCAATGCTACCCAACTGATCACCCCTTTTAGCGGCGCCCTGCTCCGGAGAGCAAAGCACACCACAGGTTGAGCTGCATGACTTGAAGCGCCTGCTTCCTCTGGGAGTCGCATACACAAAAAATCTAAACAATTCCACTTCTCGAAACTTCCACAGATGTAACCATTCCTAGTTTGTTCTATACCCAGCCTGACACAATGTGTGGGTTGGCCAAAAAGCAGGAATCCACTCTTCCCAAAACTCTCACTCCTACCGGTCCAAAATCATCTCTGGTAGGATTCTCAGGGCAAATGTTGGAGGTCTCCACTACACCTGTCACCGCAGGTAGGCCCACATCACCCTGTCCTGGCTTAACCTCAGAGCGCTCACCACTGCCGTCAGACTCCATTTCGAGACTCCTCTTCATTCAGTATTCCCTGTAACATTTAGACTAAAATACTGGAGATCCAGAAATATTTTTGCCGCCTTCACAATGATGTCTAGTTTCTTAAAATATGTTATTTTTTATTAGTTTGTCCAGTGCAATTTATTGCAATAAACGCAACAGTCCACCTTCTTTACTATTAGTGTTTCGGGATCCTTCTCCTGAACGGCATTTACTGTAGACTGGGGCATCCACTACCATCATATCTCCAGTCTCTCCTTCAGCTATTTTCACTGCCTACCCATAGGATTAGGGCTATCCAGCAGGTCTCCTATCTACTGTGACCTCCTTCATCCTTACAGGGCACTCCGGGAGCTCGAGAACATGATTCCCATCAATTACGCAATCATCTGACTCTTCAACTACGACATATTTATTCCTTCGACAAATACTTGCCACGTGTCAACTTTTTACAATTGTAACATTCCTGTGGCTTCTGTACATACGGTCTCACCACATACAGTATCTCACATAACCTCAGTACCTCCCGAGTGGCGCAGTGGTCTAAGGCACTGCATTGCAGTGCTAGCTGTGCCACTAGAGATCCTGGTTCGAATCCAGGCTCTGTCGTAGCCGGCCGCGACCGGGAGACCCATGGGGCGGCGCACAATTGGCCCAGCGTCGTCCAGGGTAGGGGAGAGAATGGCCGGCAGGGATGTAGCTCAGTTGGTAGAGCATGGCATTTGTAATGCCAGGGTTGTGGGTTCGATTCCAGTATAAAAAAATTAAAATGTATGCACTCACTAACTGTAAGTCGCTCTGGATAAGAGCGTCTGCTAAATGACTAAAATGTAAATGTAAATAACCACGTTTTACATGAGTCGGGAGAAACACTTGATCAAACGACAAAACCAATAGGCTTTTCTCTTTTCTTTCGATCTATCAGAGTCTACCACTTCTCGCATGTTCTCCCTAAACCACGAAGCCTCGAAATCCGCTAGAGATTACATATTTTAATTGGTGTCCTACTCTGAAAATCATCGCTTTCCACATCATACGTTGATAGTTTGTAGAGCCACAGCGCTTTCTCTTTTTGTTCTCTTGACACAAGAAATCAACAACATACCGCTTCTGGTCACTCTGACCGACTCTACTTTTCCCAATGCGTCCTTTACCATCTTTTAGACTACAAACGGGTCACCCAAAGAAACATCCATGCTGGTGAGAAACACTCCAACAATTAAATGTATATTCATTTCCAACTTCAGCCCTTTTACCTCCATTCTTCTTTCTCACCCACTTATCATTCTTATCAACTCCACTCGTGCCAATAAAATCTAACCTTGCATCTGCTACCGCCATTACACGACCTGCCACCACCGGGCCAGATTCAAATTCGTCCATCCACCTTCCATATTCCTCCACTCTGGAAACCTTTATCCTTGTTGTAGCTTGTGTGTGTGTGTGTGTAATGGAGGTGGTTCGGTGAACCACACTCCTGTGATGAGTAACCTTGCCTGAGACCTAAACACTTGTTTTGTCTCCCTGAGCTAACAATCTTGTGACATGCAAGAGACCCAGGTTCAAAAACCCAGTTGGTCACATTGGTACAGTGACTGCGAGGAGAAGATCAAATTGGGGTGTAGTGTGACAGGTGGTTCAGTGAATTCACTAACCTTGCCTGAGACCTTAAGACTTGTTGGCGCTTCGAGCCAATGCTTAGGCTTAGGCTTCAGTTCAGCAGGCTAAGAAATGTGGCTAGCAGATGTTTGCCCCCTCTCAGATCAGAGGTGTATTCATTAGTCGTATTCCGTTGCAAAACGTTTGGTCTGTTGCAAAACGTTTTCCAACTGAAAAAAACGTTTTTAATTTATATTGGACAAATTCAGGTTGGTCCCCCGTTTGGTTCCTAAAGTAAACGGTTTCCATTGCAAAACGTTTTGCAACAGAATCCGACTAATTAATAAATACACCCCAGGATTCCGTTCAACCCTTTTCCTCACTCATAATAATAATAATAATAATAATAATAATAATATGCCATTTAGCAGACGCTTTTATCCAAAGCGACTTACAGTCATGCGTGCATACATTTTAATTTTTGTGTATGGGTGGTCCCGGGGCTCGAACCCACTACCTTGGCGTTACAAGCGCCGTGCTCTACCAACTGAGCTACAGAGGACCACTGTTTTGATTCCCTTGGACATAATGGATGCTATTTAAGTGGCACCTTTGTTTTCCTGACTTCCACCAAGACCAATGCGGTCAAATAGGTACTGATGTTCTTTCCGCATGATCTGCAATAATTTCTATTTTATGTTCTTCGGTTTACAAGTGTGCAGCGTATACATGATGCTGGAGCGGCCTGTATGCCTGTCGCCATGTGCTCTCTTTTGTCGTACTATCCGCAGAGGGTTGGCTTCGGTACCGGAAGAGTTGAACTAGTATTTTGATTGACACGACGCTTCGACCAATTGCGAGACTGTCTTTGACGTAGGTTCGGTGGGGACAAATGAGAGGCGATGCACAGAAGTGTGTCGGTACATGTGATGACTTGGGAGAGGCGGAGTCTAATGGAGTACGATAACCAATGAACAATCCGTTGAGGCCTCATGAAAGCTCCTTCACTGTAGCATGCTGTCCTCTTGTGAATTGTACGGTGTTATCGAGTTCCACCCATTGTACATTTCTCTAATTAAAAGTGAGCAAAATCGTGGATTAGCTGGCTACATTCATTGAATCAGGTAGTTAGCGAGTCAGTACAACATTGGGAGGAAGACAATGCTGTTATTTGTTGAGGTATGTTTTGGTCTGTACTATTAGCTATCCATTCTAGTCTAAAGTTCGGTTTATGGACGACATTTTATGGCGCTTTAGAAAGCCACCGGGACCGTTGCATGCCTGTCAATAATAGCGTTGTAATAATAACGTTAATCAATAGTTGCAATCGGGGAAAATGCTTTCCATCATTGGTGAGCATGCAAAGCAAAAAAAACTTTAAAAAATTGAGCTGTAGCTAGTAGGCTACATGTCCCATTTGTTTTCACAATCTAGTGTACCTAAAGGGCAAGAACGTGTATGTAGTTCTGGCTGGCGGGACATGTGATATAACGCCTCCTTAAATTTACATATCAGCAGTCACCGATATGCTAATGTTTTACAATGGTTTTCTCTTAACCTAGTTACAACACGTTTGTACCATGTAAATGAACAAACATAGTTGTCAGTTTGAACTTTTCCTATTGTATGTAATTAGGTGGGGAGTTTAGCCAGACATTTTTAGATGCCCAGGTCTCCAGTCCGTTCAGTCAGTGTAGTCACCACTGAGTAGCTGACGCTACCTAATCTGATTAGTCGTTAGAAAGGTTTGACTATTTTAAACATGAATTCGTTGCATATGGCGGGTTGAAGCTACAGTATGTACAAGCATCACAATGTACTCCTTCAAGTCCATTAATTAGCTGGAAAATGGTTGGAATACATTTGTTTACCACGATAGTGTTTTTGGGGAGTTAATGTAATATTTAGCCGATTAGTCTTTCACAAATGACACTGTAATGTTTTACATTTTAGTCATTTTAGCAGATGCTCTTATCCAGAGCGACTTACAGTTAGTGAGTGCATACTTTTTTTTACCTCCCATACTGGCCCCCCGTTGGAATCGAACCCACAACCCTGGCGTTGCAAGCGCCATGCTCTACCAACTGAGCTACACGTGGCCCACATCTTTGTCATGCACTTCATTTCATTCCACTATGGCGCAATTTGAATTAGAGGTGAATGTTGTAATGTGCAAATATTTGATATGTGCTTTCTTGTGCTTTGCACTGGTCTTGTGTGTGTGTGAGACTTGCAATTCAAGGTGAAAGGTGTAATTTGAAGCTCAGCAAATTTGCACTAGTCTAGAATTAAACGTCAGCATGCGTTCTTGCATTCATGGCTGATTCATTGAGGGGTTTCCATTTCAAGCATGGCTGTTAATAAATAATGATAATCTGATGGAGGGCATTGACAATTAAGCCTGTTAAGCAGCATTCATAACATATCGCTCTCCAAATAGACTTGGTCAGCCTAGGGTTGATTTTATGAATGTATTTACATTTTAGTCATTTAGCAGACGCTCTTATCCAGTATTTGACAGCATTGGTTTTGAAAATGCAGCAACATTGAAATCTGAATCCATGTTCTCTAAATAAGCATTTGACTTTGACAGAAACCTACAGTAGCCTAAAGATGTTTCTGTATTTTATCACACAGGTCACCACAAAGGGAGCAGGGCTGAACCCCAACGCCAAAGTCTGGCAGGAGATCCCTGCGCCCCAGAGCCAAGTCACGGAGGGCACCCACTGGCTAGAGACTACCCCCGCTTCCGATGTCCCTGAGGGTGAGGGCCAATCCCAATGCACCGCTGGAGGTTTTACATCACTACATGCACACACAGGCCTTAATAGATCTTCTTCACAGACCTAGATAGGATTTTTGCTTTGAGTTTTAAATGGCATTGACACACATTTTCTTAAATTCTACATGTGGTTTAGGGCACTTGATTAGCTGAGTTCAGAGGGCACAATGGACCTTTTTTAGAAGGACTGTTAATCCAGGCCTGAGATCATCCTAACCCTGATCTGTGGAGGCACCGAAAACAAGCACTGTTATGAGTCTGTGGATTACATAGCCTCCCGGGTTCAACCTTGACAGTGGCTCTTTTCCCAGTCAGACTCTTATCTACCACATTACTCTCCCATCTTCCTCCCAGGTTACTCAGAGGCTCCCCCTACTCGGGGTAAGGTGTACGGCACGGGGTACTCAGACCCCTCCTCGGACAGCAGTGCCCGTTTACCCACAGAGGGTGTACTGATCGGCATGGACCCCCCTGAACTGGGGTACCCCCTCTATGACTCTGTGACTGAGTCAGCAGGTCAGTAGCAGTCCTCTGGTCAGCTCCCTCTGGGTCAGATGCTTTTGAGATGACATGCTCTGGTCTGGCGTTGGAGGGAATTGGATACATGTACTGTTTTTTTATTTTTTTATTGATCAAACTGGGTCTTAGGTGGAGGGCGTGGTCATGAGCGTGGCCTTCCTGTTGGCCGCAGTGGCAAATATTTGTTGTTTTAAAGCTAATTTCCTGCAATTCTATACATTTTGCTATGTCTGGAGATAAAATGTTGCAGTTTAAAATCAAATTTCCTACAATTCTACACATTTTGCCATGGCTTATGCTATCTGAGTGATTCAAACATTATAACAAAATCAATGGTGGCCCCATGCAATGACAAAAATACTCCTGAATGCATAATTTTTTACATTTTAGATTCTCCCTGACTGTCTAGCTTTTATTTTGGAGATTGTTAGTTGTCAAAGATGATCTTATTTAAAAACAATATATAGATCCATTATCTTTTCTTCAACAAAGTTTTTCCATACTGAAAATTCACACACAAAAAATGTGTATGTACACATTCACATAGACACACACTCAAGTATGTGGACACCCCTTCCAATTAGTGGATTCGGCTATTTCAGCCACGCGTTGCCAACAGGTGTATTAAATCAAGCACACAGCCATGCAATCTCCATAGACAAACATTGGCAGTAGAATGGCCTTACTGAAGAGCTCCGTTAGACTTCCAACGTGGCACCGTCATAGAATGCCACCTTTCCAACAACTCAGTTCATAAAATGTCTGCCCTGCTAGAGCTGCCCCGGTCAACTGTAAGTGCTGTTATTGTGAAGTGAAAACGTCTAGGAGCAACAACAGCTCAGCCGCGAAGTGGTAGGCAACACAAGCTCATAGAACGGGACCGCTGAAGTGCATAGCGCGTAAAAAGTCTGTCCTCGGTTGCAACGCTCACTATCGAGTTCCAAACTGACTCAGGAAGCAACGTCAGCACAAGAATGGCGGCAGGTAGCTTAGTGGGTAAGAGCGTTGTGCCAGTAACTGAAAGGTCGCTGGTTCTAATCCATGAGCCGGCTAGGTGAAAAATCTGTGGATGTGCCCTTAAGCAAGGCACTTAACCCTAATTTCTCCTGTAAGTCGCTCTGGATAAGAGCGTCTGCTTAATGACAAAAAAAAAAAAAGAACTGTTAGTCGGGAAATGGGTTCCATGACCGAGCAGCCGCACACAAGCTGAAGATCACCATTCGCAATGCCAATCGTCGGCTGGAGTGGTGTAAAGCTCGCCGCCATTGGACTCTGGAGCAGTGGAAACGCGTTCTCTGGAGTGATTAATCACGCTTCACCATTTGGCAATCCGACGGACAAATCTGGGTTTGAGGATGCTATGTGCCATAGTGCATAGTGCAAGCTGTAAAGTTTGGTGGAGGAGGAATAATGGTTTGGGGCTGTTTCATGGTTCAGGCTAAGCCACTTAGTTCCAGTGAAGGGAAATCTTAACGCTACAGCATATAATGACATTCTAGACGATTCTGTGCTTCCAACTTTGTGGCAACAGTTTGGGGGAAGGCCCTTTCCTGTTTCAGCATGACAATGCCCCTCGTGCACAAAGCAAGGTCCATACAGAAATGGTTTGGCCTTCACAGAGTCCAGATCTCAACCCCATCGAACACCTTTGGGATGAATTGGAACTCTGACTGCGAGCCAGGCCTAATCGCCCAACATCAGTGCCTGACCTCACTAATGCTCTTGTGGCTGAATGGAAGCAAGTCCCCGCAGCAATGTTCCTACATCTAGTGGAAGGCCTTCCCAGAAGAATGGAGGCTGTTATAGCAGCAAAGGGGAGACCAACTCCATATTAATGGCCATGATTTTGGAATGAGATGTTCGACGAGCAGCTGTCCACATACTTTTGGTCATGTAGTGTGTGAGAGAGCAAGAATTTTGTACTTACGCAGCCTGAAAAAACACTTAGTCTGCCCGCCCAGTACTTCTCTATGCAGAAAAAACACTGCGTGGATATAGTACCTTTACTTTATTACCATAAGTATTTATATAGTCCTGCTACCAGTCACTTTTCAGCAGTGTTTACATGTATATCCGCTATCACACCTACACTGACACTCTTGCACCCACACACCCACCACTTATGCTGCTGCCATACTGTTTACCATTATTATTTTTTATCCTGCTACCAGTCACTTTCTCCTAATCCCTGCCTACATGTACATATCTACCTCAAATACTCCAGTATCCCTGCACATTGTACATTTGGTACTGGCACTGACCCTGTATAGAGATTCCTCTCTTTAATTGTATTGTTAGGTATATTATTTTGATATTGAATACTGCACTGTTGGGTGGGGCTTGCAAGTGAAGCATTTCACTGTACCTGTGCATGTGACAAATAAAACTTAAAATTAAAATATTGTTTTTGCCTTTCACTAAGTATTGTCATTTAGTGTTGCCTGAATTAATATAATAATGATTACCAATGGTAACGATCAGCGATGTATGGCTTTGGTAACATTTGTTATGCACAAGGGCTAAAACGTAGCTTCGCAGCCTATAGCCAAACATTAATTTTGAATCAAAATTGTGTATGTTTGTGCAGTGGAGGAACAGCAGCCTCTCTCTGAAGAGAGCCTGAGAGAGTCTCTGAAGAAACAGCTGGAGTTCTGCTTCTCAAGGTGAGTAGTGAACTGCTTTTGAAGAGCCTATTTTAGATGGTTGTTATAACTTAAATACAGTCGGAATTTCAATGTCTCTCACTGACCTAAGCAATTCTAGATGGTGTGTGATAGTTTAGGTAATGAATCAAGCAGACCTTGGATTTGAACAAAAGCTGTAACCCCGGTGATGATCAGTATCGCGCTTGGAAGGACCCAGGAGCGCTGTGACTGTGGAGGTTTCTCCTCTTCATCTCTCTAAATTGCTTCACCCGCCTCTAACTTTCCTACTCCCTCTACACCGCTTCCTCCTCTCCCTCTTTCCCCTCTCTTCGTCAGCGCAGTGTGACTGACCTAATGACCGTGAGATTGAAATCTGAGGGGAACAAGGGAAAAAAACATGGGGACATGAATGTATACTTTTGACCCCCCACCCCACACCTCTTTTCGGTCTTATGTTCCAAAATGTGAAATGTTTATTTTATTTTTTACATTGGATAAAAGTACAATCGGACCTTCAAAGTTGTATGTCATACACTATAGTTGGAGAAAACAACATGGGGAAGTAATGCTGCTTAAGAAGTTGCTAAATGTATAATCCCATTTAGGAGAAAAAGGTCACAACTGACTGGCTCAAACGCATTAAGAAGGAAAGAAATTCCACAAATTAACTTTTAACAAGGCACACCTGTTAATTGAAATGCATTCCAGGTGACTACCCATAAAGCTGGAGCATGCCAAGAGTGTGCAAAGCTGTCATCAAGGCAAAGGGTGGCTGTTTGAAGAATATAAAATATATTTTGATTTGTTTAACACTTTTTTGGTTACTACATTATTCCATATGTGTTATTTCATAGTGTTGATGTCTTCACTATTATTCTACAATGTAGAAAGTAGTAAAAATAAAGAAAAACCCTTGAATGACTAGGTGTTCTAAAACGTTTGACCGGTAGTGTATATCATGAGAGCCTTTGTGTGACTTTGGTTCAGGTCATGTTATGATATGAACAAAGGAATCTAGCCTAAGGGCATATTTCTATCCTGCCCCTTTGGAGCAGGACATGTAATGTCCATGGCCTTTTCATCGCAAAAGTCCTGCTCTTCTCAAAAATGTGTTTGATATGATACTTGCATTTTATTTTTTTAACCTTTATTTAAGTAGGCAAGTCAGTTAAGAACAAATTCTTATTTACAATGACGGCCTACAACGGCCAAACCCGGACGACGCTGGGCCAATTGTGCGCCGCCCTATGGGACTCCCAATCACGGCCGGTTGTGATACAGCCTGGAATCGAACCAGGCAGCATCTCCCACTCCCATATCTCTGGGAGTAAGGACGTCAGCGTGGCACAGCAGCTGAAACCTGGTTCCATCTGAGTGAAAGCTCCTTGGCCACAACACCAGACTCCAGACAATTTAAGCTGTAATGGAGGAAAGCAGACATAAATAGACAAGACATTAAAACTTGCATACCAGCAATAACCTTAATTGACCCCCAAGTTCAAGCAATAAGCTCATAAAGTACAAAGACAAAATACCTGAAGTGCTGCTTGTTCACCCTTTATCATCTCATTGTACTGGTGGTGGAGAGCAGTTTCTTCTTATGCTGAAAGACACATTCCAGAAACATGGGTTAAAACATTAATTAATTAATGTCCTATAGCTTGTTATTGCCTGTTGACATCTACAGCTGTACTAAAATGCCCTGTACACACTCAACCTGCTTTCAGCCAAACAATTGGCTGCCTACAATGACGGCCTACACCGTCTGCAATGGCAATGCAGACACTACACGATAACTAGCTAGCTAGTTTTAGCCAACATCTAACTTAATAATTAGCTGCTGGCTAAGTTACGTGTAAATGGTATTCATCTAGCTAGCCAGCTAGTTGAACATGCAAAAAAATAACTTCAAAATCTATAATCCAATGTAGATGGCTAGCTATTTCATCGTGACTAGCTAGCTAGCCAAATCAGCATGCATCCCTATCATTGGGTTTGATTAAATTGCTAATCGACTATCATTCACACCACGGTGGCTATTTTCGGTAGCTAGTTAAACATGATAAATACAGTGCATTCGGAAAGTATTCAGACCCCTTCACATTTGTTACGTTACAGCCTTATTCTAAAATTGATTAAATAAATATAAAAATCCTCATCAATATGCACACAATACCCCATAATGACAAAGTAAAAACAGGTTTTTAGAAATGTTTGCAAATAAATAAATTAATAACATATCCGTAGAACTCCGAGACAGGATTGTGTCGAGGCACAGATCAGGGGAAGGGTACCAAACAATGTCTGCAGCATTGAAGGTCCCCAAGAACACAGTGGCCTCCATCATTCTTAAATGGAAGAAGTTTGGAACCACCAATACTCTTCCTAGAGCTGGCCGCAATCGGGGAAGAAGTGCCTTGGTCAGGGAGGTGATCAAGAACCCGATGGTACTCTGATAGAGCTCTAGAGTTCCTCTGTGGAGATGGAAGAACCTTCTAGAAGGACAACCATCTCTGCAGAACTCCACCAATCAGGCCTTTATGGTAGTGGCCAGACGGAAGCCACTCCTCAGTAAAGGGCACATGACAGCCCGCTTGGAGTTTGCCAAAAGGCACCTAAGGGACTCTCAGACCATGAGAAACAAGATTCTCTGGTCTGATGAAACCAAGAGTGAACTCTTTGGCCTGAATGCCAAGCGTCACATCTGGAGGAAACCTGGCACCATCCCTACGATGAAGCATGGTGGTGGCAGCATCATGATGTGGTGATAGTTTTCTGCAGCATGGAGACTAGTCAGGATCGAGGGGAAAGATGAATGGAGCAAAGTACAGACAGATCCTTGATGAAAACCTGCTCCAGAGCGCTCAGGACCTCAGACTAGGGTGAAGCTTCAACTTCCAACAGGACAACAACCTTAAGCACACAGCCAAGACTACGCGGGAGTCTCTGAATGTCCTTGAGTGGCTCAGCCAGACATCAAACATCTCTGGAGAAACCTGAAAATAGCTGTGTGGCAATGCTCCCCATCCAACCTGACAGAGTTCGAGAGGATCTGCAGAGAAGAATGGGAGACACTCCCAAAATGCAGGTGTGCCAAGCTTGTAGCGTCATACCCAAGAAGACTCAATAATGTAATCGTTGCCAAAGGTGCTTCAACAAAGTACTGAGTAAAGGGTCTGAATACTTATTTAAATGTGATTTTTTATTTATTTATTATAAATTAGCAACAATTTCTAAAAACGTGTTTTTTCTTTTTGATTATGGGGTATTGTTTAGATTGATGAGGGGGGAAAAACAATTTAATCCATTTTAAAATAAGGCTGTAATATAACAGTGGTAAAGGTCAGGTTGTCTGAATACTTTCCGAATGCACTGTATGACGAAGATTAGCATCACGCATGGCTTAGCACATCAGCAATCAACATTAACAGCAGATATCTGGCTATAACGTTACTTGTATGCAACTGTCTAACTAGCTAACAATAGCTAGCAATGAGCAATTAATACAACCTTTTGATACAGTTGAACCAATATTGTATGCACATGTAGCTAGCTTGCCATTTTAACTGTAGACTCTTACCTGTGTATGGATTATGATGATTCAAGGCAGACGAACATTTTCAAAATAATCCTTCCCACTCGGCTTCAACCACACCGCTTTTGCCACAGAAGACAGAGCTGTGTCGATACCTGCAGCTCTATTCAGGACAACACTTTTATTGAAATCTGTAGCTACACTTTGATGAAAATATGAGTAAATCCAATGATCTTTGGCTCTTTCAAATATCTGTGGTAGCAGAGCGCAGGACCTGCCATTTGACAGAAGCCTTGAGTGACAGAACACTCTTTCTCGTGAAGGTCCCAGCCCCATCATTATCTCAACCAATCATGGCTAGGCAAGATTCTGTATTTTCTCCGTGGCTAAACAGCTTTGTGATTCAAATTGTATTTATATTTACAGATTACATGAGTTTTCACTTTCAAATGCCTCTCCTGTGGAGTAGGAAAATGTGTCTTACACCCAGCTTCAAGAATCAGGGCACAAATGTGTCTTAGCTCCCCCATAGCATGTAACAGACATGGCTTGTTGGTTTCTCATGCCCTGTTGTCTGTCTTCAGAGAGAATCTGTCCAAGGATCTGTACCTGATGTCCCAGATGGACAGTGATCAGTTTATCCCCATCTGGACCATCGCCAGCATGGAGGGCATCAAGTTCCTCACCACCGACATGGACCTCATCCTGGAGGTGCTACGAGGTATGAACACAAACCCACCTCACCTTTGACCCTGTAGGAAATAGCCTCCCTGGACAGGCTTATACTTTAGGCTGCTACAAGATTGGTCAGAAACAAGCTCAGGTTGAAGGATTTCTACCCAAGCTAAAAACACTTAGCACACAAGCTGTAGCCTCATACCAGACGTGTTGACACATGGCTGGGAACGAGATTACAGTGGTGGAAGTAACGATGTGGTGGCTGGGACGGCACCAGTAGATTAATTAGTAATGGTATAGAGAGGGATTGTGGTAGTCAAACTTGAAACAATGTACTTACAGTGCCTTCAAAAAGTATTCATACTCCTTGACATATTCCACATTTTTTTACAGCCTGAATTCAAAATGGATTAAATAGATTTATCACCCAACTACACAATACCCCATAATGACAAAGTGAAAACACGTTTTTAGAATATTCTTTACGCTTATTGAAAATGAAATATTTAATTTACATAAGTATTTACACCCAGAGTCAACACGTTAGAATCACCTTCGGCAGTGATTACAGCTGTGAGTCTTTCTGGGTAAGTCTCTAAGAGTTTTGCACACCTGGATTGTACAATATTTGCACATTATTCTTTTAAAAATTCTTCAAGCTCTGTCAAGTTGGTTGTTGATCATTGCGGGACAGCCATTTTGAAGTCTTGCCATAGGTTTTCAGTTGATTTAAGTCAAAACTGTAACTAGGCTACTCACGAACATTAAATGTCGTCTTGGTAAGCAACTCGATTGTATATTTAGCTTTGTTTTAGGTTATTGTCCTGCTGAAAGGTGAATTTGTCTTCCAGTGTGTGTTGGAAAGCAGACTGAACCAGGTTTTCCTTTAAGATTGTGTCTGTGCCTAGCACTATTCCGTTTTTATTATCCGCCAAAAAAAACAACTCCCTAGTCCTTGCCAATGACAAGCATACCCATAACATGATAAAGCCGCCGCCATGCTTGAAAATATGAAGAGTGGTACTCAGTGATGCATTTGATTTGCCCAAACATAACGCTTTGTATTTCAGGACAAAGTTAATTTCAATGCCACATTTTTTTTGCAGTTTTACTTTTAGTCCCTTATTGCAAACAGGATTCATGTTTTGGAATATTTTTATTGTGTACAGGCTTCCTCCTTTTCACTCTGTCATTAGGTTAGTATTGTGGAGTAACTAGAATGTTGTTGATCCATCCTCAGTTTTCTCCTATCACAGCCATTAAACTCAGTAACTGTTTTAAATTCACCATTGGCCTCATGGTGTACTTGCCTGTGTCTTTTGTAGTGACTGGGTGTATTGATACGCCATCCAAGGTATAATTAATAACTTTACCATGTTCAAAGGGATATTCAGTCTTTTTTTTTTTTTTTTTTTTTACCCATCTACCAATAGGTGCCATTTTGTGAGGCATTGGAAAACCTCCCTGGTCTTTGTGGTTGAATCTGTGCTTGAAATTCACTGCTCGACTGAGGGACCTTGCATGTGTGGGGTACAGAGATGAGGTAGTCATTAAAAAAATGAAACTTAATGTGACTTGTTAAGCACATTTTTACTCCTGAAATTGCCGTTTCAGCATTTCATTTTTTTATGAACATTTCTAGAAATATAATTCCACTTTGACATTATGGGGTTGTGTGTGTGTGTGTAGGCCAGTGACACAAAATCTTAATTTAATCCATTTTAAATTCAGGCTGTAACACAACAAAATGTGGAAAAAGTCAATGGGGTGTGAATACTTTTCTGAAGGCACTATATCATCGTAGTAATGGAAGCAGCATTAAGTAGGTGAACATGATCCATTTTAAAGTTTTAAAAGTTGAGTGGAGGTATTTCAAGCACTTTGGGGTAGGTATGCCATGAAACTGGCTTCGGGAGCAAACTCACTCAAATGAGAGCAAGTAATCCTCACTTGGTCATTAATTGAAAAGGTGCTAGTAAATTTGATATAATGTTGATATATTTTTGGGTGTGTGTGTGTGTGTGTGTGGTTTCAGCTTCACCCGTGGTACAAGTTGACGAGATGGGGGAAAAGGTTCGGCCCAATCACAAGCGCTGCATCATCATTCTGAGGGAGGTGCCAGAGACCACACCTGTAGAGGTGACAAAATGTAGAATTAGCTCTTTTTTTTCTGGTTTACCTTCTGTGTAGCCGACTGTCTGCTAAACTTGGTAGGGACCCCAAGGTGTGCACGTTTTTGTTTTTTTGCCCTAGTACTACACAGCTGATTCAAATAATCAAAGCTAGATGATTACTTGGTTATTTGAATCAGCTGTGTAGTGCTAGGCCAACAACCAAAATGTGCACCCCTTGGGGTCCCGAGGACCGAGTTTGGGAAACGCTGGTGTAGCCATTTGCTCATTACATGTGACGAATATGGTTATTTTGTGGTAGAACGCTATAAGAAAGGTTCTGTGTGTCCTCTCTGTGTCTCCTGAGTGGCGCAGTGGTCTAAGGCACTGCATCGCAGTGCTAACTGTGCTACTAGAGATCCTGGTTCGAATCCAGGCTCTGTCGCAGCCGGCCGCGACCGGGAGACTCATGGGCGGCGCACAATTGGCCCAGCGTCGTCCAGGGTAGGGGAGGGAATGGCCGGTAGGGATGTAGCTCAGTTGATAGAGCATGGCGTTTGCAACGCCAGGGTTGTGGGTTCGATTCCCACGGGGGGGCAGTATAAAAAAAATATGTATTCACTAACTGTAAGTCGCTCTGGATAAGAGCGTCTGCTAAATGACTAAAATGTAAATGTAAATGTTCTAACACCCTCATCTTCTGTCTATTCCTTATTTCATTTGCCCTCAGGAAGTGGAGGCCCTCTTTAAGAATGAAAACTGTCCCAAAGTGATAAGTGTTGAATTTGTGGCCAACAACAACTGGTACATCACATTCCAGTCGGACACCGATGCACAGCAGGTAGCATTGCACATTCAACACTCTCTGTAGTCAGTCAGTGAAAAATAACTTGCAAATTCAAGGTCCTCATTCAAAGTTCACAGCACATGTTCTTTGCTGATTGTGTCTACTGTACAGATGTAATTTCCTATTTGTTAGGCCAATCATCCCAACACAGTTCTGTTGATTGATCTACAGTGGGGGGAAAAAAGTATTTAGTCAGCCACCAATTGTGCAAGTTCTCCCACTTAAAAAGATGAGAGAGGTACACGTCAACTATGACAGACAAAATGAGAAGAAAAAAATCCAGAAAATCACATTGTATGAATTTTAATGAATTTCTTTGCAAATTATGGTGGAAAATAAGTATTTGGTCAATAACAAAAGTTTCTCAATACTTTGTTATATGCCCTTTGTTGGCAATGACACAGGTCAAATGTTTTATGTAAGTCTTCACAAGGTTTTCACACACTGTTGCTGGTATTTTGGCCCATTTCTCAATGCAGATCTCCTCTAGAGCAGTGATGTTTTGGGGCTGTCGCTGGGCAACATGGACTTTCAACTCCCTCCAAAGATTTTCTATGGGGTTGAGATCTGGAGACTGGCTAGGCCACTCCAGGACCTTGAAATGCTTCTTACGAAGCCACTCCTTCATTGCCCGAGCGGTGTGTTTGGGATCATTGTCATGCTGAAAGACCCAGCCACGTTTCATCTTCAATGCCCTTGCTGATGGAAGGAGGTTTTCACTCAAAATCTCACGATACATGGCCCCATTCATTCTTTCCTTTACACGGCTCAGTCGTCCTGGTCCCTTTGCAGAAAAACAGCCCCAAAGCATGATGTTTCCACCCCCATGCTTCACAGTAGGTATGGTGTTCTTTGGATGCAACTGAGTATTCTTTGTCCTCCAAACACGACAAGTTGAGTTTTTACCAAAAAGTTATATTTTGGTTTCATCTGACCATATGACATTCTCCCAATCCTCTTCTGGATCATCCAAATGCACTCTAGCAAACTTCAGACGGGCCTGGACATGTACTGGCTTAAGCAGGGGGACACGTCTGGCACTGCAGGATTTGAGTCCCTGGCGGCGTAGTGTGTTACTGATGGTAGGCTTTGTTACTTTGGTCCCAGCTCTCTGCAGGTCATTCACTAGGTCCCCCCCGTGTGGATCTGGGATTTTTGCTCACCGTTCTTGTGATCATTTTGACCCCACGGGGTGAGATCTTGCGTGGAGCCCCAGATCGAGGGAGATTATCAGTGGTCTTGTATGTCTTCCATTTCCTAATAATTGCTCCCACAGTTGATTTCTTCAAACCAAGCTGCTTACCTATTGCAGATTCAGTCTTCCCAGCCTGGTGCAGGTCTACAATTTTGTTTCTGGTGTCCTTTGACAGCTCTTTGGTCTTGGCCATAGTGGAGTTTGGAGTGTGACTGTTTGAGGTTGTGGACAGGTGTCTTTTATACTGATAACAAGTTCAAACAGGTGCCATTAATACAGGGAACGAGTGAAGGACAGAGGAGCCTCTTAAAGAAGAAGTTACAGGTCTGTGAGAGCCAAAAATCTTGCTTGTTTGTAGGTGACCAAATACTTATTTTCCACAATAATTTGCAAATAAATTCATTAAAAATCTCAATATCCTCAATTTGTCTGTCATAGTTGACGTGTACCTATGATGAAAATTACAGGCCTCATCTTTTTAAGTGGGAGAACTTGCACAATTGGTGGCTGACTAAATACTTTTTTCCCCACTGTATACTGAACAAAAATATAAATGCCACATGTAAAGTGTTGGTCCCATGTTTCATGAGCAGAAAAAAGATCCTAGATATTTTCCATACGCACAAAAAGCTTATTTCTTGCAAATTTTGTGAACAAATTTGTTTACATCCCTGTTAGTAAGCATTTCTCCTTTGCCAAGATAATCCATCCACCTGACAGGTGTGGCTTATCAACATTTTACATTTTAGTCATTTAGCAGACGCTCTTATCCAGAGCGACTACAAATTGGTGCATTCACCCTATAGCCAGTGGGATAACCACTTTACAATTATATATATATATATATATATTTTTTTTTTTTTTTTTTTTTGGGGGGGGTAGAAGGATTACTTTATCCTATCCCAGGTGTTCCTTAAAGAGGTGGGGTTTCAAATGTCTCTGGAAGGTGGTGAGTGACTCCGCTGTCCTGGCGTCGTGAGGGAGCTTGTTCCACCATTGGGGTGCCAGAGCAGCGAACAGTTTTGACTGGGCTGAGCAGGAACTATGCTTCCGCAGAGGAAGGGGAGCCAGCAGGCCAGAGGTGGATGAACGCAATGCCCTCGTTTGGGTGTAGGGACTGATCAGAGCCTGAAGGTTCGGAGGTGCCGTTCCCCTCACTGCTCCATAGGCAAGCACCATGGTCTTGTAACGTATGCGAGCTTCAACTGGAAGCCAGTGGAGTGTGCGGAGGAGGGGGGTGACGTGAGAGAACTTGGGAAGGTTGAACACCAGACGGGCTGCGGCATTCTGGATGAGTTGTAGGGGTTTAATGGCACAGGCAGGGAGCCCAGCCAACAGCGAGTTGCAGTAATCCAGACGGGAGATGACAAGTGCCTGGATTAGGACCTGTGCCGCTTCCTGTGTAAGGCAGGGTCGTACTCTCCGAATGTTGTAGAGCATGAACCTGCAGGATCGGGTCACCGCCTTGATGTTAGCGGAGAACGACAGGGTGTTGTCCAGGGTCACGCCAAGGCTCTTCGCACTCTGGGAGGAGGACACAACGGAGTTGTCAACCGTGATGGCGAGATCATGGAACGGGCAGTCCTTCCCCGGGAGGAAGAGCAGCTCCGTCTTGCCAGGGTTCAGCTTGAGGTGGTGATCCGTCATCCATACTGATATGTCGGCCAGACATGCAGAGATGCGATTCGCCACCTGGTTATCAGAAGGTTGGAAAGGAGAAGATTAGTTGTGTATCGTCAGCGTAGCAATGATAGGAGAGGCCATGTGAGGATATGACAGAGCCAAGTGACTTGGTGTATAGGGAGAAAAGGAGAGGGCCTAGAACTGAGCCCTGGGGGACACCAGTGGTGAGAGCACGTGGTGCGGAGACAGCTTCTCTTCACGACACTTGGTAGGAGCGACCGGTCAGGTAGGACGCAATCCAGGAGTGAGCCGCGCCGGAGATGCCCAGCTCGGAGAGGGTGGAGAGGAGGATCTGATGGTTCACTGTATCAAAGGCAGCAGACAGGTCTAGAAGGACAAGAGCAGAGGAGAGAGAGTTAGCTTTAGCAGTGCGGAGAGCCTCCGTGACACAGAGAAGAGCAGTCTCAGTTGAATGACCAGTCCTGAAACCTGACTGGTTTGGATCAAGAAGGTCATTCTGAGAGAGATAGCAAGAGAGTTGGCTAAAGACGGCACGCTCAATAGTTTTGGAAAGAAAAGAAAGAAGGGATACTGGTCTGTAGTTGTTGACATCAGTGGGATCGAGTGTTGGTTTTTTGAGAAGGGGTGCAACTCTCGCTCTCTTGAAGACGGAAGGGACATGGCCAGCGGTCAAGGATGAGTTGATCAGCGAGGTGAGGTAGGGGAGAAGGTCACCGGAGATGGTCTGGAGAAGAGAGGAGGGGATGGGGTCAAGCGGGCAGGTTGTTGGGCGGCCTGCAGTCACTAGTCGCAAGATTTTATCTGGAGAGAGAGGGGAGAAAGAAGTCAAAGCATAGGGTAGGGCAGTGTGAGCAGGACCAGCAGTGTCATTAGACTTAACAAACGAGGATCGGATGTCGTCAACCTTCTTTTCAAAGTGGTTGACAAAGTCATCCACAGAGAGGGAGGAGGAGGGGGGGGGGGGGGATTCAGCAGTGAGGAGAATGTGGCAAAGATCTTCCTAGGGTTAGAGGCAGATGCTTGGAATTTAGAGTGGTAGAAAGTGGCCTTAGCAGCAGAAACAGATGAAGAAAATGTAGAGAGGAGGGAGTGAAAAGATGCCAGGTCGGCAGGGAGTTTAGTTTTCTTCCATTTCCGCTCAGCTGCCCGGAGCTCTGTTCTGTGAGCTCGCAATGAGTCATCAAGCCACGGAGCTGGAGGGGAGGACCGAGCCGGCCGGGAGGATAGGGGACACAGGGAGTCAAAGGATGCAGAAAGGGAGGAGAGGAGGGTTGAGGAGGCAGAATCAGGAGATTGGAGGGAGAAGGATTGAGCAGAGGGAAGAGATGATAGGATGGAAGAGGAGAGAGTAGTGGGAGAGAGAGAGCGAAGGTTGCGGCGGCGCGTTACCATCTGTGTAGGGGCAGAGTGAGTAGTGTTGGAGGAGAGCGAGAGAGAAAAGGATACAAAGTAGTGGTCGGAGACATGGAGGGGAGTTGCAGTGAGATTAGTAGAAGAGCAACATCTAGTAAAGATGAAGTCAAGCGTATTGCCTGCCTTGTGAGTGGGGGGGGGGATGGTGAGAGGGTGAGGTCAAAAGAGGAGAGGAGTGGAAAGAAGGAGGCAGAGAGAAATTAGTCAAATGTAGACGTAGGGAGGTTGAAATCCCCCAAAACTGTGAAGGGTGAGCCATCCTCAGGAAAGGAACTTATCAAGGCGTCAAGCTCATTGATGAACTCTCCAAGGGAACCTGGAGGGCGATAGATGACAAGGATATTAAGCTTAAATGGGCTAGTGACTGTGACAGCGTGGAATTCAAATGAGGAGATAGACAGATGGGTTAGGGGAAAAATTGAGAATGACCACTTGGGAGAGATGAGGATTCCTGTGCCACCACCCCTCTGACCAGATGCTCTCGGGGTATGCGAGAACACATGGTCAGACGAGGAGAGAGCAGTAGGAGTAGCAGTGTTTTCAGTGGTAATCCATGTTTCCGTCAGCGCCAGGAAGTCGAGGGACTGGAGGGTAGCATAGGCTGGGATGAAGTCAGCCTTGTTGGCGGCAGAACGGCAGTTCCAGAGGCTGCCTGAGACCTGGAACTCCAGGTGTGTGGTGCGTGTAGGGACCACCAGGTTAGAGAGGCAGCAGCCACGCGGTGTGAGGCGTTTGTGTAGCCTGTGCGGAGAGGAGAGAACAGGGATAGGCAGAGGCATAGTTGACAGGCTGCAGCAGATGGCTACAATAATGCAGAGGAGATCGGAATGAAATGAACTAAACATCTGGGAAAGGAGAGAGCAGGCCTCCCTCACCAAAAAAAAAAATATATATATATATAACTCTCCCAACTTCCACCTCAGAAACTATAATTGTTTCACTGAACCACCCGAGTAAAACTCTCCCAACTTCCACTTTAGAAATTAGAATTGTTGTAAACTACAGCAGACTGTTATCAGTAGCTGTAATTAAGTACAGCAGCTACCAACCACCTAACGTTAATGCCTCGGATGAGGTTAGAAAAACAGCTGAATGGTAGCAGCTAGCTGGCTCAATCACAGGTACTCTTAAGCATGAAATAACATTGGAAACAATTAACCACAGTTGCAAAAAGTTACCAGTAGCTACCCGCTAGCTAGCTAGCTAGCTTTGTTGGTCCAAGTAGTGGGTAAGCTAGCCTCGTGCTTCGCCGGGGTCTGCCGAATACAATACTTACCTACAATAATTACCTACAATAACCTTCAATAACTACCTGAGTAAGCTACCTATAATACCAAACTACAATACCTACCTACAATCTAAATACATGGTTTAAGCTTAACTCAACACCATATAAGAAGCCAAGCTTACCTTTCATAACGCAGCAATGATTAAACGTTGGGTAGCTAGCACAAAGATATTGTATTTAGCTACCACAGTACAGCCAGCTGGTAGTGTTGGCTGGCTAGCAATGGCTGCTGTGTTGACTTTGTTTGAAAAACGGCGTCGCTGCGAACGAATGTAGCTGGCTAAAAGGATATTGTTTTTAGTTGCTACCGTTGCTAATAGCTACTCACCAGCTAATCCAGGAGGTGAGTTAGCTAGCTAGCTTCGTGCTACACCCGGCACCGCCGAATACAAAAGTAACCTACAATAACTACACAACAGCTACCCACAACAGCCCACGATGCCTACCTATACTACTTAATAATATACAGCCCACGATGCCTACCTATAATACCTAACTACAATCTAAATACATAGTTTAAGCCTTACTCGACAAAGCCCAAGCTATGTATAAAGCCAAACTGGCAGACTGCAATCAGTAGCCGTAATTAAGTACAGCAGCTACCAACCACCTAACGTTAATGATAATGAGGTTAGAAAAACAGCTGAATGGTGACGGCTAGCTGGCTCAATCACAGGTACTCTTAAGCGTGAAATAACATTGGAAACAATTAACCACTGTTGCTAAAAGTTACCAGTAGCTACCCGCTAGCTAGCTAGCTAGCTTTGTTGGTCCAAGTAGTGGGTCAGCTAGCCTCGTGCTTCGCCGGGGTCCGCCGAATACAGTCCTTACCTACAATAATTACCTACAATAACCTACAATAACTACCTGAGTAAACTACCTATAATACCTAACTACAATACCTACCTACAATCTAAATACATGGTTTAAGCTTTACTCAACACCATATAAGAAGCCAAGCTTACCTCCTGCTAGAGAAAACACAACCTCTCCCGACCTCTCCCGATCATCACTACCGTTGAAAGAAACGGATTAAACAGCATGGTCATTACACAGGTGCACCTTGTGCTGGGGACAATAAAAGGCCACTCTAAAATGTGCAGTTTTGTCACACAACAATGCCACAGATGTCTCAAATTTTGAGGGGGCGTGCAATTGATATGCTGACTACAGGAATGTCCCCCAGAGCTGTTGCTAGAGAATTGAATGTTCATTTCTCTACCATAAGCCGTCTCCAACGTCGTTTTAGAGAATTTGGCAGTACGTCCAACCGGCCTTGCAACTGCAGACCACTTGTAACTACGCCAGCCCAGGACTTCCACATCCGGCTTCCTCACCTGCGAGATCGTCTGAGACCAGTCACCCGGACAGCTGATGAAACGGAATAGTATTTCTGTCTGTAATAAAGCACTTTTGTGGAGAAAGTCATTTTGATTGGCTGGGCCTGGCTCCCAGGGTGGGTGGGCCTTTGCCTTCCCAGGTCCACGCATGGCCTAGCCCCTGCCCAGTCATGTGAAATCCATAGATTATGGCCTAATGAATTTATTTCAATTGACTGATTTCCTTATATGAACTGTAACTCAGTAAAATCTTTGAAATTATTGCATGTTGCGTTTTTATATTTTTGTTCAGTATAGTTTTACCAGCATAGTCAAAGGCTGTGTTTACACAGGCAACTGGTCTTTTGACCAACCAGATCAGCCCTGAAAAATATCTGATGTGATTGGTCAAAAGACCAATTCGTGGGCAAAAGATCAGAATTGGGCTGCCTGTTTCAATGCAGCCTAACCTGTTAATTGTTTGAATGTGGAGTGAGTGATGCACTTTAGAGTTGGACAGACTACTAATGAACTGATTTATTGTCGCCTGTTACAAATGAACAGGCAGGCCCCTGGTTTGTTACTTGGAGGCTCTTTTCTGTTTATGGGGTTGATGCTGCTGATGTCTGTGCAAGTTCTATATAAAATAAAAAGCTATTGAGACATGTAATCATATCTCCTACATGTGAAGGGGGATTGTCCAGCTGTCTCACAGTACTTAATTTTTCCTCTCTTCTACTTCCTCAGGCCCACAGATATCTAAGGGAAGAAGTGAAAACGTTTCAGGGAAATCCCATCATGGTGAGTACATGTACTGTTCCTTTCTCGTGAGACATGCTGCTTTTCTATGGAGCAATTTCAGTGCCAACAGAAAATGTATTTGAATTCAATATTTATTAATTTGTATTTAGATTTTGAATTCAATATTTGTGCATTTCTAATGCACATTGAATATTTTAATTCATAAATTGAACTTGTATTTCATGATTTGAAACTGAATAATTAATATTGCATTCAGTTTTAAAATTCAATTTAAGTGTAATTGAATATTTTAATTAAACATTTATATATTCAGTTTCAATATGGTCAATATTGCATTCATTATCTGTATTAAGTTGCCAAACTATAATTTTAAGTTGACCAAAGTTTCATATATTCAGCTTTGCAGATGCATTCAGATTCAGTTTTCAAATTCTGTTCTCTAAGTTCAGATTCAAAACCAGAGAAATCCTGGTACTTTGCCAGCAAGGAATGGTAGAAGAGAACAGACTCGAACACTGTGTTAAACGTGGAGAAAACAGCAATTTGGCCCCCATTGCAATTTAGTTGAATAACCCTTCTAAGGATAGCATTTCCACTCCCTAATTAATCTTGCTCTTGTGACTGACTGGGTGTGAACCGGGTCTCCTGCATGTCACAAGACTGTTAGCCCACTTAGCTAAAGCCCATAGGGATGAGTACAGGAAGCTAACAAGTCTCCAGCAAGGTTACTCATCAAAAGGGCGAGAACCTTGGTTACATTTCACCCCCCCCCCCCCCCATTGACCTCATACTCAGATCACAGCACCAATATAGCTGACTGGGTTCACTCAATTCAATTTCAAATCATGAAATAAAAGTTCAGTTTATGAATTCTGATTCTTTGTGTGCATTACAAATTCAAAAATATTAAATTCAAATTCAATATCTAAGTACAATATATTTTGGGACTGAAATCGCTCCATACTTTTCTTTGATCAGATATAATTTGGTCAAGGGGGAGGCATTGCGTAACGTTAGTCAACTGTATAGCTCTGAGATCAGGTGATAGGAGTGGAGGGAAGCAGCACTGTGTGTAGACTACCTCAGTCAGACTGTTCTGGAGCCAGCTGTTATGAGGATAGGTCAGTGACTGACTTGTGAAGGGGTGTTGGTGTCTGATTGCTGGGAGCACGTGGCTGAGCTGTGGCTACACTACAGCAAGGTCACCTTGAGTTTGTGCCTACATAAGGGTCTGATAAGGAAGGAGTAAGTCCAGCCAGCAGTCTCTCTGTCTCCTCCTGTTCTAAACTGGTTTAAACTCAATCTCCACTCATCTCCCCCATTCAAGATGTTATGACATTGTCCACGTTTCATTCAACCACTCTTCTTTAGCAGTAGTTGTTGATTGCCAGTGTTGTCCTTCAATGTATTTGGCATAAGACATTCAGACTCAATTTCAAAGGGTTTTCATTAAGGTGGCTAACAATGTGAATTTGATTGGTGTGCTAAATGAAGTAGCTTAATGCATCAAACTGCAGAACTATGATTTGATTTGCCTGATGTTTAAGGACGGAAAAAGCTGTAACCCCGGTGATGATCAGTATCGCGCTTGGAAGGACCCAGGAGCGCTGTGGAGGGCTCTCTTCTTCATCTCTCTAAATCTCTATCCTCTCTAACCTTCCCTCCCTTTTTTCATCCTCCCTCTTCATCATCCTCCTCTCCCTCCGTCAGCACAGTGTGACTGACCTAATGACTGTAAGATGATGAGATCTGAGGGGAACAAGGCTCTGTTTCCTTCTCTGTGCATGGCAGTGAGGGGAGACAATGTGTAGGCTATGTAATGTGAATTCGTTTTTCTACTGTGCATTAATGTGTTAACATGTCATGTGTTCATACTCTCTACCTTTCCACCCCCTTTCCATTCCTTTACACATCTCCCTGTCCTACCTGACTCTCTCTGTCGCTCTCTCGCTCTGTCCAGGCTCGTATCAAGGCCATCAACACATTCTTTGCGAAGAATGGCTACCGTAGCGTACCGGACTCCAGTGTGTACAGCCAGCAGGGCCAGTCTCAGTCCCAGTACAGCTCTACACCCCTCTACATGCAGCAGGTGTACAGCCCCCAGCAGCAGTACCCACTCTACCCCCTGGTGCCCCCCACCTGGAACCCATCGCCTGCCCCTTACTTCGAGACCCCACTGGTGAGGCCCGGATGATTGTGGTTCCCTGTTGTAACTCGTATTGAATTAGATTTCGTACTGTTGTTCATTCCTAGGATGACGAGCCCCTCCAGAGTGTGTTGGTTGGTTATCATGGGTACAGAAGTGTTGGGTATACCTTTAGCTACTCAAGTTTGAGATGTAATTGCATGATCATTCTGAACAAAGGAGTTGTTTAGCAAATGGCTCCTTTAAATAAAAACCTCTGACCCAATGATGACAAAAAACATGCATAGAGGGGGTTCAGGCTGGGAGACAAGCCACTCTGGGTTCATCTATGCCCCCAAATCCTCCTTTCTCCCTCCTTCCCCTTATTTTACCCCTCCCCCTCTCCGAATTGGTGCGTCTCCACAGTTGACCCCAGTGTGAGATAAGATTATGAGATCTGAGGGTCTGTATTGGTGATTTAGGAATGGTGGACGTCATCCTCAACATGTTCTGTCCTGTTCAGACCCAGATGAATATACCCCGCGTCAGCTGTAACACACACCCTTCACATTGCACTCTGGGGTCAGAGTGGGCATGACATTTAGTAATGTAGAACTGGCAGGATCAGCTGGTCTTGTAAGAGCTGTATCATTAAACTGAGGTGATTTAACCTTTGTCATTGACTGGCTACACTGATTGATCGTGGGCGGCCATTTTGTTTTCTTATTTTCCTCCAGGCCCCGTTCCCCAACAGTGGCTTTGTGAACGGCTTCAGCACCCCTGGGAACTACAAGACTGGCAACAGTCCCCTGGGCCTCGGACGACCGCCCTTCAACAGAAACCGGTAGGCGTTTTCTCTCAGGGCAAGAACCCCCATCCGGCTCGAACGTAAGGCTTTATTAGATGGCTTTGACCCAATGATGACAAATCAATGCGCATAGAGGTGCTTCAAGCTGTGGGATGAAGGCTTTTGGGTTTCTCTCTCCTCCCTCTTACCTTTCTTTCACTCAAACTCTCTCTTCTCTCCCCCCCAAAGTCACTAGTCTCTACACTTGACCCGATGAGCGTTAAGATTATGAGATCTGAGGGTTCAAACTGGTCTTATTTAGCCATCCAAAGTGGACCAGTGAATTCATCCACAGCCTTACAACATTAGATTCTGTTTAAAAAAGCCAGTTTGACTAGCACCAGGATGGTTGTTGTAATTGATCAGACACTGATTTAGTGCACATATGGTATTTATGTTCATGAACAAAGCAAGACCATTTTTAGTTTTTGGGGCTCTGCTGTCATAAATAACTGGTTGTCTCTTACTCCCCCCGTCCCACAGTGTCCCCCTCTATTCTAGAAAGAATGTAATCAATGCCTTCAGGTATAAGCAATCAGATATCAATCATGTCATCAGTTAATGCTCCCCCACACCCTCATTTCATCCAGTCTCATTCTAAAACATACACGTTAGCAAGCTACGATGTTAATGCCGATTTAAACCATCCATGTAATGCTACATTGTGGTGTCCTTTGGAACTGTGGTGAATGGCAACCTTCAACTGATATTTGAGATAGCTAGCGTAGCTGACAGATGACGCTATGATGCTCAGGGATTTTTGCTGTTTGAATATAAGATCCAGCAAGTTCATTACCATCAGCTTGTGCTGAGCAAACCAAAACCATTCCCTTAGTATTCTATACAGTAGCATATTTACAATCCCCTCCATCCACCATCTTAATGTTTAATGTCCTGTCTTCATCATCCTCTGTCTGCATGAATCATACTGGAACCGCTCTAGTTGTTTTGTGATCATGTGATTGTATCTTTAGACTGAAAAATAGATGGCATTTATGTCTGAGTGATTTGAGGCTGTTAAATTGATATGACTGACTGATCTTCCTTTCCTCAGGAACCACGCGAAGAGCCAGCCCCGGCCGTGTGATGAGGCCTCTCCTCCCTCTGTTACCCCTGTATCCCCCCTGGTGGACGGCCTGTCTGGCCCCTCCAGCGCTCTTCCTCCCCGGACGGCAGGGGCTCCCCTGGGCAGCACCCCCGAGCCTGGCCCTGCGCCCCCCTCCCTCACCTCCCTCACCATCAGGGACACCCTCCCACTGGTTGCAGAGGGGATGCCCAATGGAGACCTGGGCATTGCTGGCAGGGGCAGGTCAGTCCGACCAGAGCCCCTTCATACATACACACACCCCACAACCTGCTCATACATGAAATGACATGTCCCTGTTGGGCTTTATCAGATGGCTTTGACCCAATGATGACAAATCGATGCGCATAGAGGTGATTCAAGCTAAGTGATGAAGACTTTGGGGTTTTCCTTTCTTTCACTCCTCTCTCTCGCTCTCTCTCGCGCTCACTCTATCCCCCACAAAGTCACTAGTCTCTACACTTGACCCAATGAGCGGTAAGATTATGAGATCTGAGGGTTCAAACATGTCTTATTTGGCCATCCAAAGCCTTCCCAACAAACAATTACATTTTACATTTTGGCTTATGATCATCTCTGTGTGTGTAACATGTTTGTCTGTTGTAGGAGAGGCAGCTACAGAGGGATGCGGAGGAGGAGAGAGGACGAGAGGATCACGGTCAGTTTAATTTCCTCTATCCCATGTTTAGTGTGGTTTATACACCCTATCCCACCCACGTGGAGTTGGATTAAAGGTCAAATGTGTGTCTTCTGTGTTTTGGTTTTCAGAGGCCCATCCCTCTGAGCGAGATAAAGGTTCCACAGCCCAAGTTTGATCTGGCTGCCTCCAACTTCCCTCCGTTGCCGGGGTGTGTGGTCAGCACGCAGGGAGAGCCTGTGCTAGAGACTCGCATGTCTGATGTGGTTCGAGGCCTGAAGGTGACCAGCGACAAGGTGAGGAAAAACCCCATTTGTTTTGTTCCCTCCTGACCACTTGACGTGACAAGAAGAAGTGTTCTATAATAACTAGGTCTGTGTTTTTGTCTGGTCCGGCACTTAATCCCACCTGTTACATCCCTCTTACACTGTAGTTACTCTCTCAGACAAATGTCATGTTATTCACCCCTCTAAGTCAACTATGTCCATCTCTCTTATTTCCAGCCTGATGTGAGTAAGGAGTCTGTGGCCCCTCCTGCTAGTGCCCAGAAGGAGACTGTGAGTGTGCCCAGTCCTGTCACGCCGGCCCCCAAACCCCCCACCCCTCCGGTCGTGGAGCCCCCTGTTCCAAGGTATGGTTTACCTCTGGCTTACAGCTACAAAGATGTGCTGTAGGGATTTTGATGATCCAATATGATTTGACTGTTGGAAATAAACCTTATTGGTAACCTTTTCCTCTTCTGTCTGTGCAGTGTTGCTCATCCGGTGAAAAAAGTAGAGAAGGCTGAGCCTCATGTCCAAAAGGAGATGACTCCAACCCCCGCACCACCCTCTTCTCTGCCAACCCCCACACCACCCTCTTCTCTGCCAACCCCCTCACAGCCCGCCGCTGCTACCAAACCCACCCCTACGCCCACCCACAGTCAGCCCATCTCCACGGCAACACCAGTCCCCGCCACTACCACACCTGCACCGGTAAGACTTCACTCACTGCCTGGCGGATTTCACTGGATACATAATGCATTGGATAGAATGTTGTCAGTTAACATATCTGGTTAAAAAAGAGATCAATGAAGAGATTGATGTAAGGTTGGATGCCTATTTTCTCTCCTCCCCTATTATCTTTCCTGTCTATCTACCATCTATCCATGCATCCAACCAGGAGTCAAGGAAACTGAGCTATGCTGAGATGTGCAAGCGGCCAGCCACCCAGCCCCCAGAGCCAAGCACCTTCCCAAAACCTCCCACCTCCTCAGCCAGCCAACCCCTGCGGGAGCTGCGGGTCAACAAGGCCGACGAGCCCGCCGCCTCCTCCAGCAGCAATGGGGATAGGTCAGAGAAACCAGAGCGGTCTGGAGAAGGCCGGCCCCACCGTGACCCACTGGGCTCATACTGTGGGGTCAATGGCCCTGCCCGATCCGGAGGGATGGGCCTAAAGTACCGGGATCAGCAGAGAGGTGCGTCCATGAGCCGACGCATCTCCCCCCAGGGCTGGGCCAGACGGAGTGGGAAGGAACAGAACATTCCCCCCCGGTCACCAAAGTAGTTTAAACAACAACCAACAGACTAACAGGAAAACAAACAGAAATCTATATAAATATATATGTGTATGTATGTGTGTGTGTGTGTGTATATATGTATATGTGTGTGTGTATGTATATAGATGCATCTATATACATATGTGTGTATGTGTATATATACAGTGAGGGAAAAAGTATTTGATCCCCTGCTGATTTTGTACGTTTGCCCACTGACAGACATGATCAGTCTAATTTTAATGGTAGGTTTATTTGAACAGTGAGACAGAATAACAACAAAAAAATCCCGAAAAACGCATGTCAAAAATGTTATAAATTGATTTGCATTTTAATGAGGGAAATAAGTATTTGACCCCCTCTCAATCAGAAAGATTTCTGGCTCCCAGGTGTCTTTTATACAGGTAACGAGCTGAGATTAGGAACACACTCTTAAAGGGAGTGCTCCTAATCTGTTTGTTACCTGTATAAAAGACACCTGTCCACAGAAGCAATCAATCAATCAGATTCCAAACTCTCCACCATGGCCAAGACCAAAGAGCTCTCCAAGGATGTCAGGGACAAGATTGTAGACCTACACAAGGCTGGAATGGGCTACAAGACCATCGCCAAGCAGCTTGGTGAGAAGGTGACAACAGTTGGTGCGATTATTCGCAAATGGAAGAAACACAAAATAACTGCCAATCTCCCTTGGCCTGGGGCTCCATGCAAGATCTCACCTCGTGGAGTTGCAATGATCATGAGAACGGTGAGGAATCAGCCCAGAACTACACGGGAAGATCTTGTCAATGATCTCAAGGCAGCTGGGACCATAGTCACCAAGAAAACAATTGGTAACACACTACGCCGCGAAGGACTGAAATCCTGCAGCGCCCGCAAGGTCCCCCTGCTCAAGAAGAAGCACATTAAGGTCCTGGAGTGGCCTAGCCAGTCTCCAGACCTTAATCCCATAGAAAATCTGTGGAGGGAGCTGAAGGTTCGAGTTGCCAAACGTCAGCCTCGAAACCTTAATGACTTGGAGAAGATCTGCAAAGAGGAGTGGGACAAAATCCCTCCTGAGATGTGTGCAAACCTGGTGGCCAACTACAAGAAACGTCTGACCTCTGTGATTGCCAACAAGGGTTTTGCCACCAAGTACTAAGTCATGTTTTGCAAAGGTATCAAATACTTATTTCCCTCATTAAAATGCAAATCAATTTATAACATTTTTGACATGCATTTTTCTGGATTATTTTGTTGTTATTCTGTCTCTCACTGTTCAAATAAACCTACCATTGAAATTATAGACTGATCATGTCTTTGTCAGTGGGCAAACGTACAAAATCAGCAGGGGATCAAATACTTTTTTCCCTCACTGTATATGTGTATATAAATATACATACATACATACACTACTGTTCAAAAGTTTGGGGTCACTTAGAAACGTCCTTGTTTTCGAAAGAAAAGCAATTTTTTTGTCCATTAAAAGAACATCAAATTGATCAGAAATACAGTGTAGACATTGTTAATGTTGTAAATGGCTATTGTAGCTGGAAACGGCTGATTTTTAATGGAATATCTACATAGGCGTACAGATGCCCATTATCAGCAACCATCAGTCCTGTGTTCCAATGGCACGTTGTGTTTGCTAATCCAAGTTTATCATTTTAAAAGGATAATTGATCATTAGAAAACCCTTTTGCAATTATGTTAGGACTGATGGTTGCTGATTATTGGCCTCTGTACGCCTATGTAGATATTCCATTAAAAATCAGCCGTTTCCAGCTACAATAGCCATTTCCAACATTAACAATGTCTACACTGTATTTCTGATCATCTTGATATTTTAATGGACAAAAAAATTGCTTTTCTTTTTGAAAACAAGGACATTTCTAAGTGACCCCAAACTTTTGAACGGTTATGTGTGTATGTATTTATATATATGTATTTTTATATAATGTGTGTGTATATGTAAATATATGTAAATATATATATTTACACGTGTGTATGTATATATGTGTGTGTGTGTGTGTGTGTATATATATATATATATATATACGTGTGTGTGTGTGTGTATATATATATGTATATATATATATATATATATATGTATATATACATATATATATGTGTGTGTATATATGTATATATACATATGTATATATACGTGTGTGTGTGTGTGTGTATGTATGTATGTATAGATATGTGTATATGCATACACACACACGTGTGTGTGTGTGTGTATGTGTATATATATATATATTTACACGTATGTATGTATGTATGTATGTATGTATGTATGTAAAGATATATATATATATATATATATATGATGAAAGAACACGTTCTTAATCTTAAAGACCCTCCTGAAGCTGGGTCGGACACCGACCGACCTTTGTTTGGGAAAGACGGTAATCATTTTATGAGGGGGCTGACGAGTGTTACAAATCACAAACTGAAGGACGTGTTTTAAAGAATAGCGAGAGACGCTGAAATGCGGCCTCACCTTGGTTAGCTTGAAGGCTGGGACCTCCACTGCTAAATCTATGTGAATTTGATTTCTATGTCAAAGTAGGGATAGGGGGGACAAATATACAGTAATGCCTTGTATCTCCAGAATACCGGTAGTTGCAAAGTAAAAAAAAAAAAAAAAAAAGGGGGGGGGGGGGATCTGTTAGCAAATCTAGTTAATATGCAATACGGCAAAAGACGTGGATATCCACCGATATGACATCTTTATGAGTTGATACATATTATGCATTTTTGTTGAGGGAGGGGTTGGCAAGTGATTTTTGGCGAAGGGCAAAGGATAGTTCATGAAATGTGTTTTTATGAAGGTTGGAAGCGAGAGGGCCACATGGTTTTAGAGAAGTGCCTGTTTTGAACTGTTCTGAGAGATGGAGGGAGTTGGGAAGCCTGTCAAGCTGCACTTTCTTTTAGGTGAAGAAACACCCTTGGATGCTTGTCAGCTATGAGAGTCTGGAATTATTTTGTGTGCAGAATCAGTGGGGAAATATGAATTTATTAGAATCAATACATTTATTTTCACGGTTGATGGAAACTTTTGCCATACCCTTGCTTGAGTAGGACATTAAAACCTTTACAATAATGGGCATGAATACTTGAGCCGTGCAAATCTGGGGAAAAGTTTGGATAGTCAGGCTGTCGGTCACTGAATTGTTATATTTTCCACGATCTCCATCTCCTATCACTTCGAAACCATATGGTTAAATGTTTGAATGGGTATTGGTCCCAACTGTCTGCCAATCCTGTTCTTTAGCTAAAATATGCTTTGGTTGGTTAAGGCTGATTTGCGCCAAGCATGAGTGCATAATCTCTCAATCCAGGGTCAAGTTCAGTAGGCACAAAACTGAGTGAAACTGCAAGGTACTCTCAGAAGTTGTCCTGCTTGCTTTCATTTTCCATTGCAAAATGTTTTTTTTAAATGGTTTGCTACAGTGTGTTCTTATGAACATGACCCAGTTGTTGTGAGGCACTGTCACCACTGACATCATTACCATGCATATCAGGAATTCTACAATTTTGTACCTAGCCTTTTTAAAGGGGCAATCTGCAGTTGCTACATACATTTTTTGACTTATCATTAAATTATGTACCAACTGATTCTTGAAGAATTTAACTTTTAAATAGCTCATGAGCTTAGTTCCACTGTCATACCCCATCAGAACCCAAAATATAAGCCTGTTTAACTCCAATGTTTGTAAACAAAGTAAATGCAAACAAAATCTTAATAGCCTCAAAACATGGTTAAAACGATCATTTTATGATATAGATGGTCAGTCTATGAATTTGAGTGGTTACATTTCTCCAACCCCATCCCTCAGCTTTTTACTGTAACAGGGTAGGGAGAACGTTCTATCGTTTCAACTGCTGATTGTCACTTTAAGAAGAGCAGTTTTAATTATTTGTGGCTTGCATAGAAGTTTAACCTATTGTATTAATATTTACAATTAATTACGTGGTCAAATGCAGGATACCGGCGTTAACATATACCTCCATATTTATGTCTTGATGGAACAGGTAGTCTTTATCATCAAATAGAAACCCTTCCACCCCAGAGATCTGGTCATTTCAACATGCCCTCTTATCATATCTGTGCAACAGGCTCCAGAGTAGTCTTCCATGCATTTTGGTAGCGCTTGTATCATGTAGAATAGGTTAGATGGTATTTTATAGAGTAGTAATGGGATCCCAAGCATGAAACTGGTCTCTGGTACTATGTATTCCAGCTTGCTCATTTAAAATGGCCTGAATTCTGAAGGCAAATGAACAGAATCAATTATCTTATTTGTTGTAATCAGGAATTCATCTATAAATGAGCTTACTGGTTTAGGGCTGCGAACACTAGAATTTTACATTTGATATGCAAATTTAAAATATTACTTTTGCCAGTAAAGTTCTTCCCCAGCAAGAGTCTGGTTAGTGTTCTGACTTCTCAATTTGAGTTGATAACATGCAGAGTACTGCACCTGTCCCAGTATGAGATGAGGGGTGGCCAGTGAAGACTTCCAGGTGTGGCGTTGGTTCGTGTTGTTCTGTGCTTGTCGTGTACAGAGGGCTGTTTTCTTGTCAGTGAGATGCTGTCGGAGTCTGATCATGTCCATTTTGGGTTTATCCTTTTTCAATGTTGCCGTTGATCCATTGTGCAGAGATTCTTAAGGGTGATGATGTTAAGTGAATTTATTTTGGGCTAGGATTGAGGGAAGAGCGACTCAGATATTAGCGTGTGTCTGTGGCTAAATCATAGGATTATGATTTTGGCACTTATTCTTTGTACATTTTCACTTTTTTCTTTTTACTATCTTAGATTTTTTTGATTGAAGATTTTTATGCATATCTCACGATTGTTTTAAATTCCGTACATGTCCATTGTTTGCTAAATGGAAGTTTTAGAGTGATGTTAGGAGAGTTGACTTGACGT